ACCATTCTGGTACTGCCTCAGTTCCCGAAGCTGTCCAAGGACCTCGTGATCTCCGCTTGAGAGAACGTCTGAGAGAACCTCTTCATTTTCCTTCATACTTCGGTAGATTTCAAGCTTCAAGATGAGAGGAGTGATAATTGGAGTGGTGGCAGTGATTGGATTCTTTGCTCTGGGTAAGTCGCAGTGAACTCTTACCTCCTTAATGAAGGCCTAATGTCTTTAACAGAGACGAGGTTTCCTTTTCAGTCATAGTGTGACTTTGTTTAATGTCATACTACAATGTAAAAGGTGTGGAACTGGGCCTACAACGAATCACAGTTGGGGAGGGTTGTCTCGGCCTCTATAACTTTGTCTTGGTCTCCATAACTTGCAGTTGTTTCCACTGTACCTTTCAAACTTTTATAGAAGATAGCCAAACTGTTATCATGCCCTAAGATGTCTTGACAGTCATAGACAAGATATTTTGAGACATTTTCTAAGACCCCAAAGACCCCACTCGTCATATCCACCTTATGAGGCACCTTTTCTGGCTTTCTAATTAGCTCGTCCACCCCCTCCCTCTGTAGAACCCTAAACTTTGGAGTACTTGGCATCCTCTTCCCAGAGCCACCCAATGATTCAGCTACTCCCAGGAGATGCCGAGTCACGGACCCTCAAAATCCATATATTTGGAGCCTCAAAACTCAGCCAAGACGGTTCCGACATACACCAACCTTTACGTAGAGCTAGACCCGGCCTGCTTCAAATAGCATTAGCGTACAAATCTACTGCTTACTCACCAAATGAGACGATTTTGTCAAATGCACAACTTGCCCCACTACCAGGGTGCATTGTAACAATAGGTGGGGCAGATTTTAATAGTTATATAAAATATGTTCACAAACTAATATTTAAAAAAAGTATTTATTTAGCTAAAACTGTCAGGTTTAATTTAATTTTGCCTTCTGTCCAAAGCCCCATGTGACATTGCTAGGTTTTTGTCTTGTATAGTTTAAAAAAGCATACATCACATTAACATGTCACATTAAACTACAAAGGCATATTTAGACTATATGAGAAAATGTAACCTCTACTAATATATGTGTTAACCAGCAATCTAAACAATCCAGACACAAAATCTAATTTTCTTACCTCAAAATCAGTTTTTGGTACAGTCATATGCAAACCCCAGTCAAATTACCTATTAAGTCACCACACTAAAACATGGTATTTTTATGCACAATTCTTATTATTGGATGAGTTTTGGTGCACAACTTCTATTTATTTGCTGAGTTTAACATATTGAAAAACAAAAAAAACATGAAACATTAAATGCGCCATTAACTTTTGCACACGTTGCATTTCCCCACAGTATCTTAAATTCAGTAAATACACAGAAATGATGTATTAAAATGTAGAGGATGTGTTCACTTTTTTACTTATTTAGTTGAAAATCGACAAATGCATGTGATTTGATGGGGCGCCCAAACTTTTGCACACATCTGTAGGCTTCACCTGATGTCTTCCAGCTCCTCATGTCAGCTCAGGAGGGTGGGGGGGCTTTTCCAAAGGCAATATCAGCCATGTAGCTTATTTGTCATTGGTGAAGCTGTGGGTCAACTTACTCCGTCTTACAGCCCTATTAACATATGACCGGCTCAGCTCTACTGGGAATACTAGGACGGCAGTGCGGTCAGTTATGGGAATATCTGAGGGTTTGTTTGTTTTATTCCCAAACCTTTATTAAATATATAATGATGTATACTCTCAAAAATGATGGTTCTTCAAGAGTTCTTTAGTAAAGAAACTGGTTCTATATAGAACCATGAACACTCAAAGAGCCCATTGCATGATTAAAAGGTTCTTTGCATGGTGAAAGGGTTCTTCAGATTGATGGAGAATGTGCTGTAGATGGTTCTATATAGAACCTTTTTGAAATATGTTCCATATTGGTTTCAGACCAAAATTAGTATAGAATAAAAGCTGCACTGAATATTGGAGGAATGAAAGATGTTCATTTAAATAAATTAAAAACAGCTGAGTAGTTTTTTTACAGGCCCGTATAACAAGGAACCCATTTTCTTATGTTTTGTTTTACAGAAAAAAAGTTAAATTTTGTATGTAAACATTGTAAACATTCCAAAGTGGACTCCAGTCCATACAGTCGATATATGGAAACTAAACTGCAAGAATTGATTTGTTTTTGTGATCTATGAAAACCAACACATACGCATTGCATATTCCCACCTACTCAGCCTACAGCAGATTAGGGGCTGCACTGAAGTTATAAGGAGTGTTTCAGCCCTGCTTTTTGAATACAGGGGGCAGCCAATCAGAACAGAGCTCATTTACACATCAGTCTTAAAGACGCAGTAACAAAAACGACCTGTAATCATAAGGGGATAAAGAGAGCTTAGAAAATGCTTGTGTACAAATGAATTCTGACTGTTTTTGGAACATAAAACCACATAAACGTAATAAGTGGATCTCAGTGGGGAAAATACAATACAAGAGTAATGTAGACTATGAGGTTATTAAAGACATCAGATCAGTATCAGTATCGATACTCAAGGTTTCAATATAGATATCAAAAAAGAAAACATTGTATCGTTTCATCTCTAACGAAAGCAGTGTCAGTTCATACCACTTTTACAGTGTGTGTCTGATTTAAGACGTCAAGTAAGATGAAGCGGAAAAAAAATGATGTTCAGATTTGATTCACTCTTATTTTCACAATTAAACATTTATACGCTGTAAAAAAAAGTGGTTCATCAATTCATGTAGTCACACAATCCAAAGCAGAAACTTTGTTGAGATGAACAAAAGCAACATTTTATATCAATTCAAATTTCAAACAAAAAAATCTTCTCATTATTTGGAGGATGTGGGGTGAAATGAACGGTGCTTGCATTGAATTGAAATCACCACAGAGATTTGTGTAAATTAGATTTAAATGTAATTCAGCTCTGTAAGCTCTGCTCACTGTTGTGGTCAAATCAGGGCCGGTGGATTCCATAAAGGAAAGACTGTCCTATTCAGTGTTCATTATTCTGATCTAATCTGCTGAAAAGCAGGTTTAACCAGTTCAACAGAGAGTGATGGGACATTAGCGAAGGACTGTGTACCAGACAGGAGAGATCACAGTATCAGCTAACAATGAGTGCTAAGTACATTTTACAATGTTTGCATATGGCTCACTTACGCAAATACTGTTCAGAACCGTAACCGTAGAAATAACTTTCTTCATGGGGAAATTATTTTTTGTAGACTGATCATAGACAAGCAATTCACTCCAAAACATGAACAACACTGTAAAACTGCTGTAATTTTACAGCACATTACAGTACAATTCATGACAACATACTGATTTCTTAAATTACGATATGCTGGTGTCTTTTCTGTTAATTCTGTGAGCTCATGTCCTTCCTTAATTCTAAAGCCATTCATGTCCATACTGTATTTTTTTAATTTCCTTTATTACAATGATTCTTAGAGCTCCACTGAGCACAAATGTAACAACGAAATCAAAATTGGAGGAACTGTTTGGCTACAGTGATACCTTTTTTTGTAAATTGTACAAATGTTCATGAAAACTGATGTACAATCAAACAAATTAAAACAGCTCTTACACAAAAAGCCAGCTGGAATAAAAAGGAACCGCTTACTATATATTAGCATAACTAAACTAGCAGCAATGAAAGCAAAGCAATTCAAAATCAATGTGCCTAACAACCCCACTCACATGAAGACAAAACTCTGTATTTAAGGAAAGTATTTTCACTGTTAAAATACTGTAAAATTTAATTTAATGGTCAATAATGGTTCTTTGTAATGGTTAAATGCATGTAAGTAAACCATAAATATATTGAATTTTAAATTGTTCATTTACAAAAATAAAACACACATTCACAGAAAAAAATGAAGACCATTTTACAAACACTTGCATTTTTTAATGGTTGTTTCTGGTGTTATTATCATGGTAAAATAAGTATGTCAAAAATAACAAAACAGTTGAAGTAGTTGAGTTAGAGTGAAAGGCAGTATTTCTAATACACACACACTTTCTAAGCCGCTTATGCTTCTGGGTTGTGGGGGGAGCTGGAGCCTATCCCAGCCGCCAATGGGCGGAAGGCAGGAAACACCCTGGACAGGTTGCCAGTTCATCGGGCAGTATTTCTAATAAATAAGACTAATTTTCTGAATTTTGACCATCAACATACTTTTACTGTTAATTAGCAGGTTTTGTCTGGCATTAATGCTGCCCAGCTTTTTACCAGTTTTATGAGGAGAAAAATCAAAAATGTATTCCCACTTTAACAGATTGTAACTTTCTGAGCAACATAACATTTGTTTGAAAATATTTAACTTTTATTTTATTTTAACTTGTATTTTATTCTAGCAAGAAAATGTTTCATTTACTCAACAGAGAAAAATTGTTTTAGAATGAATCATGATGTTTTAATGTAAGCTAATGGAAGGAAAAAAAAACAAAGCTGCACTTTGTAAGTTTTGGTGATTTGGAGACCTCTCTGGTGGAAATGTGTAATTGCATGCAAAGTGTGGAAGAACATTTTGTAACGTGGGCTGGGCCTTAAAATGGGGAAAGTAGCCTAGTTTTATTTTTTTTTATTATATTATGCTTTTATTTTAATAAACAGTTTTGCTGTTGAATGTTTATATTTGTGGTTTGGTTTAGATTAAAATATTATTCCTATTTGTTTACCTTTTGTTGTGCTAACTGTCTCCACAAGATATGCAAACAAACTCCACGTGCACCAATTCCACAAAATATTTTTCAGATTTAAAGCATATGTTTTTTTTCATTATGAATCCTGAACATCTTTCAGGATTCATTTGCTGCTAGTCGGGTTATGCTAATTTATGGTTTGCCTTGGACATTTCATACGACTCTTTCTAACCGTATATCCATAATAATCATCTCTTTTTCTCTCTCTCTCTAGCGGAGTCTCTGACCTGTAATCAGTGCACTGTGGGACTGATAGGAATTTGTCTGAAACCCTCAACCACCGTCTGCACCACCAACACGTCCAACTGCTACACAGGAAAAGCCAGTAAGTCTCATCATTCCAAAGTGACAGCATCACCACTGTGGGCGGACACTGGTTGCCAAGCTGATGAGGCTCAGGCCCTGAATGTTTTAGTAGAATCTATTTATTTAGCACCTTTGGTGAGACAAAAAAGTGATTTAATACTCAAAAATAAAACAGTTCAGAGCTGCTATTGACTCACTGCAGTTCACTCTTTAGCATTTTAACTGCCTCCACTCCTACAGGCAGTTTGATACCCACCACACATGGAAAATGCAGGGTTCAGTTCCCCGTCCAGGCAGGAATGCAATTAATGCACTTCAAAATATTGATATATCATCTTAAGTATAATCACTATATCTTCTGTTTCTGATTATGAGACTGTTGTGAGAATATTATGGGATTATGTAACCTATTTCTAGACCTTTGCTTGTCTCGTTGACAGATAATGATGCTTCTTTGAAGATATAAAGAATTGTATTGTTTCAAGAGATAAAGCTTAAAACAAGCAATATTATTTGATTTTTTTTCACTTGCAAAAATATTTTTTGGACTGTACATCAATAAGAGATATTGAATACACTCTAAATCCCATGTGTCAAGCACAAGGCCCGCGGGTCATGTCAGGCACGTGGCGCAATCTTAGTCGGCTTGCAAAATGATTTAAATTTTCTATTCATATTAGCCCGTTTCACCATGAGCTGCACTACAGTTCCCAGCATGCACTGCAATGTAATACGTGCCAGATGGCTGTTTGGAGTCTTTTCTCTGAAGTTTTGGAAACTCCTGTTTTTTTCACTTATTTTTCTTTGATGTTCTCCTTCATTATGCAAGTGGATTATTTTATATCTAATCTCCCTAGAAACATCTGAAAAATGAAGAATTTGTTAGAAACAGTGTTCTGATTGGAAATTAGAGAAAAGAATGGTGGTATCTGATGCTAATGACATCCGTAAACTCTGTCTTTCTCCGTGTCTCCATAGCTTTCCCTTCAATCTCCGGTTTCCTCGGTTTCAACACTCAAGGATGCCTGGAGTCGTACCAGTGTGGCATCACCGTCAACGGCACCATCCTGGGTGCCTCTTACGTCGTCACTCAAACCTGCTGCAGCACAGACAAATGTAACCCCGTCCAGACCAGTGGCGCCCCCTACATGCAGCTGTCCCTGCCTGTGGCTCTCGGCACCACCCTGCTTGCCCTCATCTCGGGCAATTTCATTTACTAATCACCTCTTACTTAAATCCACATGCACAAATGATGATTTATAGATGAATTCAGTGCAATTTCTAAAACAAACTGCTATTCTATGAAGGATATTTCAAACGTAGATTAAGAGAACACATGTGGGCCCACACTTCCGTTCCTCACTAATACTTTATCTTAAACCCTATTGGAGCTGGATTAGTATCACCACAGCAGTTTCAGCAATGCAGTTTTGCGTGATTTGACTGGTTGACTCGTTACGGGGTAAAGGATCTGTGTAATTTCCCCACATTACACCAAATAGCCTAGATGGAAACATCATTGCACAAAGGTTTATGTCAGGATTATGTGAAATGCAATAGAACAGTAACAACACGTGCGGCTAAATGGCAAATATGGTGCCAAAAAATAAGAACGAAACAAAACAGGACACTGGGTGAGGGAGGAGACCTACATTTCATTGCAGTGTGGAGTGACGCCAATTATCAGTGGCAATTTGAAATGATGGTGCATTTTCATAGCATATGGGAGGAAATATACATCAAATTGAGTCACAAACGTTCAGCCAAGTATAGAAGCTAGTTCACTCTGGAATTATTACTTAGTAGACGTGTAAAAACTATGGACATGTTGGTAATTACACTCAAATTACAGCACCTCCTAAAATAAACCTGATCCAGCTCCAATAGGGCTGTAGTTTCATAGTAGTTTCTGAATAATTTCATACTAGATAAGAAACGTTTTAAGAGTATTGAGTGAATTATAAGTGTGGGGTTCAAGGGTTCAACTTATTACCATGTTTCATGTTTGCTTGAGTATTTGTTGTCAGTTTTCTGATGACATTTCTGGGGGATCAATCCCCAAAATTCATTTCCACAAACTTTCTTTCATTGAATTTTTCTCATTTATTTTATCTTTGTAAATTTCCACTTCAGAGCTGTAATTCACGTCTATTGTGAACTAATATTGGTTATTTTTATGGATATTTTGTGGTCTTTCCTTCTTGCTAGATCCACACAGCTGTCTTTTATGTTAAACTCTTAATGAGCAACATACAAACTCAAGCATCAGACTTGGTAACAACAACAAGTTATTGCTGGGAACCAGGTTTGATTTACAGAAATGCTGGTCAAGAGTCCATCAGACTATGACTGACCATCAGTCTCCTTGTGGTTAGTATAAATTAGTTCTTCTGTCAACTTAGGAGTTGACAGTTTGCTTAAGAAATAAATGTGTGAACTTAACTTGAAATTAACTAGTTAATATAATGTTGGAAACAATTGTGAAAAAATGAGAGTAGACAAAGTTAATCTTGGATAAGGAATCGTTGTGATGACAATGTTTTGTGAAATTCACTTCTACTATATGGAAAGTAGTTTAAGATAACTGACCAGCTGTATAACCTCTGGACCATGTTATAGTATTTATCCTATATGATGTAATATTATCTTGTGCAGTGTTGTAACTATATGGAAAATGAATGGACTATTGAATAAACTGATGTTCTAAAAGAAGCCTAATGTATTTGCATAAAAACTGAAATGCATATTTAACTATTGCATTCATTCTTTGGAGAATTCCTTTGCTTTTTTTTTTAGAAACTTAGAAGGATGAACATGCAAACAACCATTTGCATGGTGAAATGGTTTTTCAGATGGATGGAGAATGTGTTGCATATGATTGTGTATAGAAGCTTTTTGGAAAGCGTTCTAGATAGTACCAAAAAAGGTTTCTGCTATACTTACTATGCATACGATGTCAAGATTACAGCAATAGAAGAATCCTTTTAGGCGCTATATAGATCCATTTTCAAAAAGCTTCTATATACAACCATCTACAGCACATTCTCCGTCAATCTAAAGAAACATTTCACCATGCAAAGAACACTTTAAGCCCTTTTTTGGTTGTTTGAGTGGTCATGGTTCTATATAGAACCATTGTCTTTCCTAAAGACCCCTTGAAGAACCATATTTTTAAGTGTGTACACCTCAAGCACATTCATTGACCCAGTACACAGGTGTGGTTGGAGTCTACAGAGTGCTCCATCAATATTTATCTGCATTTCAAATGCTATTAACTTATACAACCTACACTAGGGTGTAATTTCCTCATCACTTTAACTTTGATGATATGATGATATTTGCACTACCCTCTCAGAAAAAAGGTATGAAATTTGTTACCTGTGAAGGTGGTTGGTGTAGTGTAGCAGGTAACATCACTGCCCCCCCTCCCCACCATGCAGCAGACTGGGGTTCATTCCCCCACCTTGGCAAGCCACCTACCCTATACCAATAAGCAATCCTTGGGCAAGACTCCTAACACTATCCTTGCCTACCTGTGCAAAAAACATGGTTAAATTGTAAGTCACTCTGGATCTGCCAAATGTCTTAAATGTTCAGGTGTGTTGGAAACTATCTCTGGGGCAGTACCCCTCTTGTCACTGGGGTGGTACCCTCAAAGGTACATCTCAGTACCTTTAGTCAGGGAACGTGACTCCACGCACCCCGTCTCGTCTCCAGGCTTTTTATTTTATTGACCTGTTTTAAAACATTCAGTTATGAAAAGGTACAAATACAAACTTTTCACCTGGAAAATCTTATTTATGGTTCACAATCAGACCTTAAAACCACTGTTGTACCTTTGAGGGAACATTTACATTGTTTGTACCTTGATGAACAAAAATGTACCTGCGCAGAACCTTTATTTCTAACAGTGTACCAGTCTAAGAAATGAGGTGCTATTGCATCTAGTCTTGTTCCTCAGTGACTATTGGTTCATATTTGATAGGAATTTTGTAAGTTTTTTTGTGTAATATTGATCGCAGGAAGTCTAAACCTTTCTGGAGAAATGTTGAAGAGTGGTCAATGTTGAAAGTGGTCTTTCTTGTGAAACAGGATAAAATATTTGCACTTATTTACTTTATAGCGAGTACAAATAGTAAGGGGACATCCTTGCCATGTTCCAGAAAATATATCAAATGTTTTGGACATTTAATTTTATCCAAAGATAAAATAGATACGATCCACTCAACATGTATGAAACCATTTTGATCAACTCCAATAAGAGATGGAAGATAGATGTCTAGTCTTGATACTAATATTTTAGCAATAACTTGCCAGTAATTATCGATAAATTGTCTTAAATTACAGACAAGATACATTAAGCTGATCTAAATGTCATCTTCCAAAAAACCTGATGATTTTCATTCATGCAAACAATGAAAAATGCTGCTTTTATGTCTTGTGAGTCAGTTAATATTTCCCCAGAATTTGTCTAATTATTAATAACTGCTTGAGTAATTTATGGCAGCTTGCCTGTCTTCCTTTTAAAATGTCTGTTGATGGCTTATTAGACTATTTTCTGCCTTTTGAAATAGAAAACTCAATTTTAACACTATAATAGAAACATTTTACCACAAAAGAAAATTGTTCATTCATTTTTTTTTCTGTGCATCAACTGATTTTCAGTGCATGATTCACAATTTAATAACACATTTTGTGGCCAGTCATGGCTGTCAGTAAACACAAAAGTATTTGTTACTTGTGTATACATTCCACCTACATTTATGGGCCAAACAGACCCTGTTTTGTGTGTCAGCAGAAACACACTGAAGTTAAGGAAGTTAAGTTAAATGAACTGTCCATGTACACTGTGGAAGATGAAGGCCAAGTGCATTAGAAGTTTGACTGGCTCCTGTAATTACAGCTGTCAGTGTCCAGCATGTGCCGTAAACATGGAGACAGCAGCACGAAACCTGATTCTGTGACTCAGCAAGAGGACACAAAAGGCATAGAGGTATCAGCTTACTTACCATCAACAACAAAAGAGGGTATTTATTTATTTATTTATTTACTTATTTTTTTACTGAACTGGCTTAGTTGTCATCAGCATTATCCAATTATCACATGTACTTAGACAATGCTGATGACAACAGTAAATAATTATCACATCTACTTTATTTTCTGTATTGATACCTTCCAGAATCTTTGGAACTTGACATCATTCCGTGTGTAATTTTAACATACAGCACTGTTTATTTTAAGACACTAAAGTTCAATTTATATTCACAACATTTCAAATACATTCAAAATTACAATTTTATTTCACCGGGTACTCAGTTTAGTTTGTGTAGCCCATTTTTCATCAAATATTGTCCAAAACATCTTGTCCAGAAATGTTCTTTGACAAAAAAAAAAACTTTTAAGAGCATGAGGAAGAACCACTGAGAGGAACCAAGACTGAAAAGGAGAACCTCCTTAAGAGCATGAGGAAGAACCACTGAGAGGAACCAAGACTCAAAAGGAGAACCTCCTTAAGAGCATGAGGAAGAACCACTGAGAGGAACCAAGACTGAAAAGGAGAACCTCCTTAAGAGCATGAGCAAGAACCACTGAGAGGAGCCAAGACTCAAAAGGAGAACCTCCTTAAGAGCATGAGGAAGAACCACTGAGAGGAGCCAAGGCTCAAACGGAGAACCTCCTTAAGAGCATGAGGAAGAACCACTAAGAGGAACCAAGGCTCAAAGGAGAACCTCCTTAAGAGCCTATGGGAAGAACCACTAACAGGAACCAAGACTCAAAAGGAGAAACTTTCTCTGAGTATGAGGAAGAGCCACTGAGAGGAACCAAGACTCAAAAGGAGCATGACAAAGAACGACTGAAAGGAACCTGAGACTCAAAAGGAGAACCTCCCTAAGAGCATGTTGAAGAACCCCTAAGAGGAACCAAGACTCAAAAGGAGAACCTCCTTAAGAGCATGAGGAAGAACCACTGAGAGGAACCAAGACTCAAAAGGAGAACCTCTCTAAGAGCCTACGAGAAGAACCACTGAGAGGAACCGAGACTCAAAAGGAGAACCTTCCTATAAGCATGAGAAAGAACCACTGAGAGGAACTGAGACTCAATAGGCGAACCTTAGTAAGAACATGAAGAAGAATCACTAAGAGGAACCAAGACCTCGAAGGAGAAACTCTCTAAGTGCATGAGGAAGAACCAGTCAAAAGGAGAACCTCCCTTAGAACATGAGGAAGAAGCATTAAGAGGAACCAAGACTTGTAATCTTCCAGTCTCATAATTAAGCTTTAAGGATCTGTACAGGTTATAATCCAATGTCCAGTGAAGACGTAAGGATGCCTGTGTAGGAAACACTTTCAGGATTACAGTCACCTTGACTTATTACTTCTAGACAATTTGATAACCTGACTGACGACCTTCACAGCCAAAAACCTACGTAGCTCCTTCTTCTAAAGGAACACAACTAGTTTTGTTCTCCTCAGTAAACAAAAGACTCTTCACACATCCTTTCAGCTGATCCTTGACTACAGGGCCGTGAATGTTTTCTCATTGTCTTTTCATCACCAGAGTGATGAACAGACCCTGCGCTGGGTGTGTGGGTGTCTGTGTATATTAAAACAGGTTTATCTCCCTCTCAGCATTGTTTCTTCATTTTTCCTCCATATGACTGACGCATTCCACGCTTTCCCACCTGGTGGACAGCTGAACACGAGCGGTCACACCCCTATCACTAACCCAACTAATAAATTACTCATCAACTCCTTCCTGGATGAGAGAGTATATTAAGGCCTGCATCCTCCAGGTATCGTCCTTCTCGTCTTCACCTCCTGCCCAGAGCGTTCGGAGACTCTTCTTGGATTTCTAACTGCTGTGAGGAGACCATCGAGGATAACCCGCTTTCAGAATGAATAAGGTTTTAGTTGCCGTGCTGGCTGTGGCGCTGCTCTTTGTCGCAGGTAAGATCTCTATTCAATCAATATTCAATCAATCGATCATGAATAGTAGCATCTTTCATACAAGCAGTTTTAACCCAAAGTGCTTTACAGATTCACATGAAGGACGTGAAGAAGCCAGTATAGAGAATAAGAAGAGTAAAACAAACAAATCTAGAGAAAAGTTTTCAAATACAACACAAAGAACAGTAATAGTATTAATAAAAAAATAAGATTATGGGAAAAATAATGAAGGGTAATACAAAAAATAACAACAATAAGAGAACATTTCAAAATAAAATCATGGTTAAGTCTTAACAGTTTATTAACAAAATGACCACTACCCTCAGGTCCACATACACTAAACGCTGCCTCCCCATGTGTCTTTGTTCATGAACTCATGAACTTAAAGTAGATTTATCCCCGAAGAGTGGACAGATTTGTTTCGTTCATAAAATTTTACAAATTTTAAATTTTTAAAATGTATTCTAAACTTAATAGGTAACAACTAGGCAAGACAAGGCAAATTTCTAACACATTTCATAGAAAAAAGCAATTCACTGTGCTTTACATAAACAAAATCAAAAAGATCATTAAAAGGAAGAATAAAGACAAAGTGCTTAAGAGTGAAAAACTATTTTTTTTCAAAAATATTTGAAAAAAAAAACAAAAGAAAGTAAACTCACAAACAACATCCAAAGAAAGAATAAAGACAAAATGCTCAAGAGTGAAAAACAATAAAAATAATAAAAAAAAAATTTTATCAAAAGAAAGTCAAAAACAGCATCAAAAGGAAGAATACAGACAAAGTGCTTAAGAGTGAAAAACAATGGAAATAATTTTAAAACATAATAAAAAATCAAAACGAACATCAACAGGAAAAATAAAGACAAAGTCTTAACAGTAAAAAACACTAAAAATAATAACAAAAAATAACTGAAAGAAAATAAAATCAAAAAGAACATCAACAGGAAGAATAAAGACAAAGTGCTTCAGTGTAAAAAAACAAAAAAAAAGAAAAAAATAATAAAAAAGTCAAATCAAAAAGAACATCCACATAAAACATAAACATAAAGAGTGAAAAATACTAAAAATAATAACAAAAATATCAAAAGAACATACAAAGTACATCACGTAGAATAAAACCTTTAAAGGGGATTAAAATAAAGGACTTTTATTAAAGTAAAAGAGGAGTAAAAGTAAGAGGAGTAAAAATAAACAGCGAGTCTTAGAGCTCCATCATAGGCACATGAGCAGAGAAATGATTTCAACTGGATTTAAATATGGCTACTTTTGAGGCTCGTCGAAGGTCTTCTGGCTGTTTGTTCCAGTTGTAGCAGCATAACAGCTAAAAATGCTGCTTCAGTGTTTTTATTTTGGACTCTGGGCTTGACTAGCTGTCCTGAGTTCATGAATCTTAGAGACCTGCTCAGTTTATATTCTTTAAACAGAATCAGAAATGTGTTCTGGGCCTGAACCATTCAGTGACTGATAGACCAGCAGCAGCACTTTAAACGCTGATCTGTAACTAACACTGGAGGGACTGGGAGTAAAAAAAGGGCCTTTCTGGGTTTCTCTGGGAGGCCAGGAAGAAGAGCATCACTATAGTCCCACCTACCACTTATAAAACCACAAATAAGCTTCACAGCATTCACTTGAGAGAGGAACTAGGTGAGGAGTGGTCAGTCTCTCACAGTATTTCAAAGACAATGAAAAACAGTTCTGGTGACATTTTTAATATGGATTTAAACATTTATATGTGAGTCTAAGCCCTGCGATGGACTGGCGACCTGTCCAGGGTGTATCCTGCCTTCCGCCCAATGACAGCTGGGATAGGCTCCAGCACCCCACCGCGACCCAGAAGGATAAGCGGTTTAGATGATGTATGTATGTATGTGAGTCTAAACACAGACTAATATACATATAATATAATCATATAACAGGATTAGCATCATTTGTAAAAGATTTCATACTGCCCAGGCCCCAATGACCAGTATTTATCCAGTTTTATCTCTGCTGAATTGGATAAAGATGTGAGACACTCAAATGGAGATACAGTCAATGCATTCAGTTAAACTGACTGAGGGGTAACGAAAGACATAACTTTGCATCATCTGCATAGCAATGAAAATGGTGTGGATCAAAGATAAAACCTGTACAAACAGAACTGAATGGGACCCAAAATGGAGCCCTGAGAAACTCAGTAAGTGATGCCACAGCTCCTAAATGAACACAGATGTGAGCTGAAGCAGTTAAGAACTAGTCTCAGGTCAGTGAAGTGGGATCGAGTTCAGCATTCCAACAATCGAAATGGATCTTTTATTATGAAGACATCGGGAAATTACAAGCCTTTTTCAACCAGTTCTTTCCCCTGTCCTTCTCAAATCTGAAGCAGATTAGTTGTATGGCCCGGGCCCGTCAGCAGGCCCACAGTTTTATTACACACTTCTATAATCTAAGAATAGCTCAGCCAGTTTGCATTGAAGTGCCTGTAGTTACTGAATAATACGCCTTAGTATGAAATAAGCCTGGGATGTTAAGAGATGAACTTAACTTCCTTAACTTAAGTGTGCTGAGATGCAGAACTAGGCCTGTTTGGCCCATAAATTTAGGTGGAATCCGTGGAAAGCCTTAGTATGTAATAAACCTGGGATTTTAAGAGATTAAAACAGGTTTCTAGATTTTAATGGCAGCTTTCAAAAACATTGAGACCAATGTTGAACAGCAGTATGTGTAATATATGTATCTGTAAATATGGCTGTATGACCAATAGATATGGACAAATACATATATTTTTTACATAAAATGTTAAGGATGTTTATTCCTTCTCCTGAAAGTTATGAGGTTTTCTCCCAAGTGGTGCTATATACACATGAATGGTTCTACTGAACTGGTTCAAAGTCAGACTTAAACTGAAGTTCTTTTGCTTTGAGTGACCCCAATACCTTGTTATGCTTACTTTATTAAAAGGAATGATTGAACATCCCATTTTGTCACTACCAAAACAAACCGAAACTTTACTAAATGCTTCAGTAGTGACTGTTTCATGAGCAGAACTCAGAAACACTAGCCAGTACATGACTGACAAACACAGCTTTGAATAACTGTACGCATTGCAAAAAAGCTGTGAGGCTCTCTCGCGTCTTTTACCTGCAGAGCTTTTTCTTTTAGCATCTGAGAGGGCAGTTAAAATACCAGAGAAATCACATCACACTCAGCTCGAGGCGACACTGCAGACGAGTCAGATCTTACAGGCAGCAGGTGGTATTTGAACATTCATAGACAGTTAACAGACTGTACTAAACCCATCTCAGCCTTAAAGCACCACACCCACTGTGGCATCCTGAGATCTCCTGTTACACCATCTAACCTTCTCACACAACATTACAGCTCCTACATACATTACAGCACTTACACTTACAGAGACCAACCAGTCGAAAACAACCAGTAACTACAAGTTATTCGTTTTTCAGGGTCAGAATAAAAGTAGGAAATATATATAAAACATAAAATGACACAGAAGCCTCAGCAAGTAAATATATCACTTTTTTTTTCATTAATTAATGTGTCCACTCTGCACCTTTATTCCAGCTTGCATTCTTTTCAGGAGACTCACTTTCAGTTTCTCAAAGAAACCTGCAGGGATATTTTACACACCTCCAAAGTTCAGCCTTAGAAGCTGGTTTAGCATTTTAGATTTACATTTCAGCCATAATAAAAAGTGTAAAGGGAATTTCAGAGAAAACAAAAAACTAAAACAAAAAGAGAGAAAAGAAAAAGACAGAGTGAAGAAAAGGGCAGGAGCGAGAGATACAAAGAGCTGGAGAAAAGAGGGGAGAGAGAAACAAAGAGAGAGAAAGGCAGAGAGAGAGACATATATCAGTGGCAGAACAGGAACAATAGAGTTATAGACGTGGAACGTAATGAACTCATTAAAGGTTACGAGAACGCGGTTAAGGATGAACAGGTTCTTTTGTTTTTTATTGGAAGGCAGAAAGAAAACAGGCTCTAGTGTTCAGTCTGTAAATCTGCCCTCAGGTTCTTCAGGTCTGTCACTGACATTCACCTTCTGCCCCACCTCCACACAGGCACACTGCCTAGGTCACGCTTGGGTCAGTTCATGTTTGATAGGTTTATACTTGGCCTGGTTAATACTTGGCCTGGTTCATGCTCGGATTGATCCAGTTCTTACTTGGCCTGGATCATGCTTGGATTGGTTCATGTTTGATCCAGTTCATGCTCGGATTGGTTCATGCTTGGATTGGTTCTTGTTTGGTCCCTTTCATACTTGGCCTTGTTCATATTTGGCCTGGTTTATACTTGGCCTGGTTCATGTGTGGACTGGTTCATGTTTGGTCCCTTTCATACTTGGCCTGGTTCATATTTGGCCTGGTTTATACTTGACTTGGTTTATGCTTGGATTGGTCTGTGTTTGGTCCAGTTCATACTTGGCCTGGTTTATATCTGGTCTGGTTTAAGATCAGGCTGGTTCCCAAAACTGAACTCTATATGACTGAACTCTTTATATATACCCTATATAAAGCCTATATAAAGCCTATATAAAGCCTGAACTCTATATAAGGCCAGATTGAGTTTATAATCTCTGTTTAAGAAGCCTGGAGTTTGAGAAAATGTACAGTACAGCATTAATAACCGCAATACGCCTCACCTTTTATCACCAGTGTGTTTCTGAGTGAAATCTATATGGTTTATGCTGTTAAAACCGCAAGCTTCCTTTATATTGTGTGAACATTTTATGTGAATGAACTGATAGAAATGATCCTCATTATTAACCTTCATTAAAGTAAATATTTTGCTACAACAGTGACAAAACACTGAGTGTGTTAACATGCACTTAATAATCTGAAAATCAGATTTTGTCAGCAATCCAATCAACACATTTTCATGCACTTGAGTAATCAGATAATGTGGAAACTCCAGGTCTACATGAGTCAGACAGTAATCAGATTTCTGCAACCAGCCAATAAACTCACAGAAGAAGACATAATGTAAACGTAACGTAAACTCAAGCTTCATGCTGCAGCTTTTTTTTTAATATCGCACCACTTTACCTGAAAATACGAAGAAACATCTTCTAGAAGATGAAGAATATTTAAATCCTTCAATTCGTCAAGCATGTAGTCGCTTTCAGTGTCACTCCAAAAGTGTTTTGCTGCGTCTCGTGGCAACGCTGCTTACTTATTTCCAGTACTGCAGTCTGTTTTCGCACATGTGCAGACTGAGAAATCTGAAAGAAATCAGAGTAAGAGTTTACATGCACTGAGAAATCTGATTACTGAGCTATAAATACAGCTCTCTTTATCAGATTTATTAATCAGGTTTCTAGACCTTCTAAGAAATCAGAGTGTGATGTTTACCTGACCATTTGAATAATCAGATAACTGCCGAAATCTGGTTATGATTGGATTATGTATGCAAACTGTCACTAGTTTATGTTGTGTAAAGTTTTCTAATGAAACTTTTAAAAGCACAAAATGTGTTAAAAGTCTATAAAAGCCTGAGAGTAGTCAAAATGGTATTTCATGTTTTTAAAGGTTGTTTTTTGTTCTCATGAATGTGTAACATACTCTCTCTCTCTCTCTCTCTCTCTCTCTCTCTAGCTGAGGGGTTGAACTGTTACTCCTGTTCAGTGGGGATTTTGGGGAAGTGTTTCATAAGCAGCTCACAAACCTGCGGCAGCACCCAAAACAGCTGCTTCAAGGGACAAGCAGGTACGACAGCACGTACTCACAGAACCATGAACACACTGAGGTTCACGTTCTCAGACTCATCCGTCCTGAGGCTCATTCCTACATTCACACCAGCAATCATGCAAATATTCACACATTCCTACAGTCACACCAGATAACATACATACTTTCACACACACTTACAAAGACTCTGGAAAGCCACATTTTCTACAGAAACCATTCCTTCAAGTGGTCATTCACACCACAGGGTTCATACTGACCAAGCACTTGTCATAGGTAGCAACTTTTGATTGACCTTTGATTGAAAAAATGCTGACGATGTTGGACACTGTTGAATCCATGTAGATCTCTGACGCTGAATTGGCATTGATCTTGCTCACTGTTCTGGCCATTGAACACTGGAAAATCAACCAGAATCAGAAACACTGATCCAAGTTGATTCAACTGCAAGAAGTGTAACAAAGTGTAGAAGACTGGAGGGTCAGTCTCAATCCAGGCAGCTCTGTCATGTAAGAGTATGATGCTCGCTGCTGTCGGAACCCAAAATGGTAACTTTACAGGAGAAAGAAAAAACATACTTTACTTCTAATGTAAGTCGATGGAACAAGAATTTTTCCCCAAGTAATCTTGAGCCGTTTCTTTTGGTCCATTCATACTGAAATTTCACGCACAATGTAAAGAGCAACAGGCCTTTTCAAAATATGATAAAAACTGAAAAACTTAGAGAAAAAATAGAGATACAAAAAATAGAGATACGAGGTTTTGTTCCGATATCAGGGTTAGGGTTAGGGTTGAATCAGCTTTGGATCAACATGGTTGAAGATCAATGCAAATTGACGACATGACATCAAATCAGCACCATTTCAATCAAAGTTTGCTGTCTGGGGTGTATTAATGCTTTTATCGCTTCATAGAACTTTAGAACGTTCAATCAACATTGTCTGAACGATACATTGTTTGCATATTGATGTATCAATATGCCACCACCAACAACCACCCCACCTCCCATTGCCAACTCCATCAGGCAGCAATGTTTTCACAGCTGGCCACATTATTTTTTTGGTTACATTTTCCAAAATTCATGCATAATTCAAACACTGAGATATAAACAAAGTTCAGATTTCTTTACAGTGGTGGTGATAGTAACCGGGGTCGTCATGACTACAACACAAATATAGACATTTTATTTACAACCCAAAACCACCAGTTAACCTACATGTGTGTTCTGAGTGTTTACATGTAATGTTGATGATGGTAAAATATTGTAATGCTGAAAACGGTATGATTTCTTTTGCTTCACAACGTCCTGCATTTACCATGAACTGAAATGAAAAACACATTTTAGCTTAAAACCTTACCTAAAAACTACCACAAAACAATGTCTCAAGCATCAGGCAGGCCATTCATGACCATTTTGGGTAATAACGTCAGACATCTGGTTCCTATCACCACCACTGTGAACATTTCTGACTCTGTATGTTTCTCTAGAACAGAGCGTTCCACTCTGAATGACTTTGGGAAAGCCTTGCCAGAGGAATGGAAGCTGCAAAGCAGGCCCAACTCCATATTAATGCCTGTGTTTTTCACAGTTTTTTGAGACTAGTTCAAATAGGTGTGACGGTCTGGTGTCCACATACTTTTGATTGTATAGTGTAGCTTTCACTGTTTAGTGACTTGCTCCTTTTCTCTTATCCCTCCCTTTTCTCAGCGTTCAACTTGACAGGCGCTCTGAATTTCTACACCAGCGGCTGCATCAACTCCACCAACTGCGTCACCAGCACGGGGACCATTCTGGGCGTCGGTTACACCGTCACCCAAACATGCTGCAGCACGGACCTCTGCAATGGAGCCAGCAGCGTCCGGCTGCCACTCACTGCAGCTGTTGGCGCCGCCCTGCTGGCCACCACTTGGAGCTTCATGTAGAAAACCTCCAGTTTACCTCATTTTCTATTATCCATGCTGTCTCCAGTCCTAATCCTGGGGAATTGTGTTCTATGCTCTCTCATTTGAGACATTTAAGTATCATGAAGGATTCTGTCCACAGGACTGAAGCTGGGAACTAATAATATAAATTACTTATTAAGGACAAAAAAAGACAAAGTCAAGTATGATAAGCTTTTCTTTTCTGGATGCTTGAATATAATAGGAACAAAATGTTACTGTAGAAAATATTTAACTTTTTTCAATTGCTAGGATGAGGGCACTTTACACTTTCTCAGGTAATAGTGTGTCTCTGAGGCGATGATGCACTAGATATTAAAAAGTTGTCAAATGATGTACAATGCTACCAATTATTGTGCTGAAATTGATCCTCTTGTAGGAAAAAACTGTTTTTCAATGAAGTATTTCTTGAATAAAGAGAGCAAATTTTAACTGAGGTTTAATTTTCCTTGTGTGGTTCAGGACTTTACAATATAACTTGCCTCAGCATATAAATTCAAGGTACACCCACTGCTGACACAGGTGTCCAATTGTGTAATCTCAATAGAAAAGTGTTGACCAATAGAACTGGACACTGGAGGTGGGGGTATAAAGCCCCCAGCATTGGGCTGTGGAGCAGTGGAACTGTATGTGAAGTGATGGAGCTCCATCCAACACCTTTAGGATGAGTTGGAGTGATCCAGAACTGACCATCCAACATCCAACAGTACCTGATCACACTAATGATCAATCAAATCCTCACAGCAAGGGTCCAACTCCCTAAAAACACCCCTCATTTCAGAGGAAACGCTGGAAGAGCTGGTGTCTACACAGCGTAGAACATATAAAGCTTAGAGCAGTAAGTGTCTTGATAAGGTGTTGGACCATCACAGGCCGCCAGAACATTTTCAATGAGCCTTGGCATAGATTCTACAAATCTCCCATCCTCCTCTGGTGTTTTGGTAATAGTAGTAATGTCCAATGCTGTCTGACCAGAATCTACCATAGGTGTTCAACTGTGTTGAGATTTGGTGGCTATAGCATTATCATCATTCTCATACTCATCAAACCATTCAGAGACCCCTTGCACCTGTGGATGGGGGTATCAACATCCTGAAAGAGACTATTTTCATCAGGATAGAAATGTTTCGTCCTAAAATAAGGGGGAAAATGGACCACTCAGCAGCACCACCCACGGCATAATAGAGCCGTCTTTGTAATAAGATGTTTGTGAACTGCAGCTCTTCAGTAACCCTCTCTATGTAGTTGTGGATGGACTCACACTAATGCATGAACACTAATGAATGTACCACTCTTGCCACATTAGCCAACCTACTGACATCTTGCCCAAAGATCTGAATACAGATCAGTCACTTTAGCCACTGTTCCTACCGAAATGTATATGTTCCTTAATTGTATCATGCAGTACACCAATCTAGAAGCATCTGCACTCATTAGGTTTCTCCACTCATTTACTGAAGCAATAAGCCATAAAAGGCCATGCGTTTCTGCAATTGTATCACGGGGAAGGGTGTTGTTAGGCACATTGTCAAGCAGAGTGCATAAACCCCCCCATTATAAAATCACAGTAACACACAGCCTCGAGTCGCTTATGGCTTTTATAAAACAGCAGCCAACGTCAATTATGATCAAATACACAACATTGTTATTATCAATAATCGACGTAAACAAGTATTCTGCCAAGAAATGTAGTTCCTTTAGAGTATGGTATCGTTGCTAAGCAACCGTGGACTTACCGTAAGTACTTTTTGGTCATCAAATTACCACCGTAAATCTTACTGTGGCATGCGCCCATCCCCTGGACCCTGATGACAGCCGCAAGGGCCAGGAAAAAGGCAGGGCCCGAACTCCGTGCCCAGACAATATCCTGCGAAGACAGAGGGGAGATGATGAAATCTGTAAGGGAGTAGGGCTCTGCCCTGCCTCCTCGGCACCACCTCCGGTCCCATGGCAATGTTTAGGATTCAGGGGATGGGTGCAGGGCATATTTATATAGCGCTAACCCCACGCCACCCCTCTCACCACACTGGTGCTGAATCTTACATAACTCCCTGCTCCCTACGTAGTGCACTATGTAGGAATTTAAACACTGGATCCTGCACCCCAATGCTGCAAATACAGCTAGTCATTTGGGACACATCAAGCCTGTGATATTAATGATAGAGGTGTTTAGGCTGTTTGCTACCTATTACCCTGTTAGCTAACTGACCAGTCTGATTCTAGTTAAGAAAATAAGATGTCAGCCCCTCAATTTAAACAAAAACAGGTTCTTACTTCATCAGTACACTCGGTGATCCATGCGAGCAGCATTAGAGTCAAATATTATTTATTAACAGCACAAGGGTTTTCATGGTGCAGTAATACAGAGTTCAGCTGTAGTGAGGTGGTCTTAGGTATGTGTATTTTGTATATTCCAACAGCTTTGAACACGGTTCACCCAATCAGATTTTAGGAGTGGAACTATCTGTTTTATAATGAACATTTTCCTCAAATTTGTCACCCATTTGTAGATCCATTTTAAACGATAGAAATAATTATTATTCACAGTGTTACCAGAGTCTTGATCTTGATTGGGTTTGTTCAGATGAAGTCTAAAATCCAGGTCCAGGTCTTGAACAAAGCTTTACTACAGTGGTTCCAAACCCAGTTCTCAGAGCCCCCAGACAGTCCTCATTTTTCCTTCCTCCAAATTTGTTGCGTTCAGTTTGAGTAAAAATGTTGACCGTCTGAGGGGCCCTGAGGATGAGGTCAGGAACCTCGCTCTACTAGATGGTAGATTCCAGCCCTCCTGACCTACAGAGGCAGAACAGAGGTGGAATGATCAGAATGAGGGCCCTCTCTTGTCAATAGCAGTAAGTCAGTGTTGGACACTGGAATCAGCTTTAAGCTTGCATAAGACGGGTTTAGGCTTAGATACACATTCAGTAGTTGCTGACAGAACCTGCTGAGAATGATGTAAAGAGGTTCTGCTAGAAATGGCTGAAAATCCAGTAAGCTCATGGATCAAGTGGTGTCCACCCATCTTTGCCGCCTGAGAAAAGAAGAGAAAAAGAAACTGGTTGAGCTTCATTCCCTCTCTCTTCTGCCATTGGCCCCTCTTAAACAAAACTGTCTTTGACTAATCTTTCACCAAATGGTTTTGTTTGCAGTCCTTTCTGAAGAGGAGGCCATTGTCAAGTAAAGCTCTTTTCACGTTACACCAGTTGCCTGCAAGTTCACACTACATGACTCATCGCAAAGTTCTTGAACTTAGTGTTTTGCCTGCTCCAACAAACCTGACTGAAACATATCAGGTGTTGGGCCAAGTGTTGAAGTGTGGTACGATACAAAATACTCTGGGAGGTCGAATCGAATTGCCTTGAGGTCGATTTCAACAGGACTGCTAGTACTGAAGGAGCTCAGAGGTTAGAAAATATGGAAGGTAATTTGCTTCAGAATAATCATGAATTGACCTCATGACAATGTAATAACAACTCCTGGTAAAAGATATCAGCACCTGTTTTTGGCAACTAGGAGACAAGACTAACCCCTAAAACTGAGCTTTTGCTGCAGTTCCTTTATCAAGTTGAAAAAAGAGAAAAACTATGTAAAAAACTAATTTCCATCATTCTGATGAAGGCCTAATTAGAAGAAAAATGAAGTTCAATATCTGAAGGTACCTCTCACGAGACTGTCCTGTTGGGGGTCATTTGGCTTTGTCATTTTGTCTATCTGGAATAAACTAGAAGTTTGTTTTTGTTGTTTGTTGGGCTGGATCTGTTTAACACTGACATGAACATCTGGGCTATGATGTGTTGGTTCTGGCTATCTGAGTTAATTACACAGATACTTTATCCCATACAGATTGGCCAGTTGAATCTCTTACAAATGACATAACTGGAGCTTCTCTGTTAAAGTTAATCCCGCTAGAGCTCCAGGTATCTTGCTCCAGAATTATTACTTATCAGAATTAGTACTTAGCAGTGGCAAAAAAATAGTGAAGACTACAAACACTGCACGTTCGAACTGGATTAAAATCATAGATTTCACCAGTAATCATGCAAAATATAATACCTCCCCAGGTTAAACTAATCCAACTCAAATATGGATTAAGAGAGAAGAGAGATTAAGTTTATTCCTTCACATAAAAGTCTACTACATGAAAATCACTCTTTAAAAAACAGTAGGTAGCAGACCAAATAAGTGACTTTAGCAGCTAATAAAATATGATTAATCCAGGTTTAGATACTCAAACTGTAATTAATCCAGGTTTAGATACTCAGGCTGTAATTAATCCAGGTTTAGATACTCAGGCTGTGATTAATCCAGGTTTAGATACTCAGGCTGTGATTAATCCAGGTTTAGATACTCAGGCTGTGATTAATCCAGGTATAGATATGCTGAAATTAAGTCAGGTTTAAAAACTCAGACTGAGATGAATCCAGGTTTAGAGACTCAGACTGTGATTAATCCAGGTTTAAAAATGCTGGAAAATAATCAAGATTTAGATACTCAAGACTGTGACTAATCCAGGTTTAGATTCTCAGGCTGTGATTAATCCAAGTTTAGATACTCAGAATGTGATTAATCCAGGTTTAGATACCCAAGCTGTGATTAATCCAAGTTTAGATATTCAGACTGTGATTTATGCAATTTTTGGGACTCAGATTATGATTAATCCAGGTTTTGATTTGCTGAAATTAATCCAGGTTTAGATACTCAGACTGTGTTTAATCCAGGCATAGATACTAAGACTGTGATTGATCCAAGTTGAGAAGCTTAAACTGTTATTAATCCAGGTTTATGTACTCAGACTGTGATTAATCCAGGTTTATACACTCAGACTGTGATTAATCCAGGTTTATGTACTCAGACTGTGATTAATCCAGGTTTAGACATTCAGGCTGTGATTAATCCAGGTTTATGTACTCAGACTGTGATTAATTCAGGTTTAGACATTCAGACTGTGATTAATCCAGGTTTAGACACTCAGACTGTGATTAATCCAGGTTTTGATTTGCTGAAATTAATCCAGGTTTAGATACTCAGACTGTGTTTAATCCAGGCATAGATACTAAGACTGTGATTGATCCAAGTTGAGAAGCTTAAACTGTTATTAATCCAGGTTTATGTACTCAGACTGTGATTAATCCAGGTTTAGACACTCAGACTGTGATTAATCCAGGTTTAGACATTCAGACTGTGATTAATCCAGGTTTAGACGCTCAGACTGTGATTAATCCAGGTTTAGACGCTCAGGCTGTGATTAATCCAGGTTTAGATACTCAGACTGTGATTATTCCAGGTTTAGATACTGGACATGAAAGGCTGACATTAATATTGTACAGTCAAATACATGATCCATAAAGAGGAATCACCAAAACAAAAAAGAAATCATACCTAAATATTGAGTA